CTTTTAATTCTTTTAATGTTTTAATTATTTCTTTTAATTCCATCAAATAATTTTCATAATAAAAATAAAATACAGAAAAATCAAAAAAAAAAAGTTTATTGTTATTAATATTAATTTCACCATTATTTTTGTAAATAAACTTTAATAACTAATTTAGTTAATTTAGGTTTCAATTTCAACATTTTTTCTTAATAAACTAAAATAGGTAGAATTAGGGTTTTGATATTTTTTTCACCTTTTCTTTTTATAAATAACTTTCTCTCATTATTATTGTTATTAATTATCATTTATTTTTTGTAAATAAACATGTACATTAAATATTTAGTAAATTAGGTTAAACTTTAATATTTTTTCATTAATAATTAAAAACAACTTAGAATTAGGGTTTCTCTTCATTTTTAATTTCTTTATTTCATAAATATAAAAAAACCTAAAAAACATTTCTTTTCTTTTTTAATAAAATAATTAATCAACTTTTAATTCAATTTAATTTCAAAAGGGTCCAACGCCCTTGAACGTGCAACTTTAATTCATTCGCGCATTTATTCTTATTTTTTCTTTGTGAATATTATGTAACTGCTCAAGCCGTGTAATAGTAATTAGGAATTTATTTATTTTCCGCATTTTTTATTAAAACGGGTCTTTGTTAATTTGGCGATGTATAGACCCGCGCCTTGTAATAGCGTAGGATTTATCTTTTCGCATTTAAATTTCCGCACTTTTAAATTATAATTGCATGAAAGAATGTATGGCCTAAATTAAAAACAAGCGTAGATCACCACAAATGCATGATCAAAGACAAATATTAACATGAAAACAACACACAAATTCATACACCACTCTTAGGGTACGCCTCACTGTTGCCTTACCTTCGAAACGTGGTCGTCGAGTATAGGACGTCTTAGTAAGTCCTTATGTCCATTGATCCCGTTGCCTCAAAACAAGTTGCCTCGAAACGGTTGCCTCGGAATAGTTGCCTCGAAACGGTTGCCTCGGAATAAAAAAGGATCAATGGCATAAGGGTAGCTTCTAAGGTGTCCTACTGTTGCTCTGGTGACCACACTGTCCCTACAAACGAATTGACCCGAACACCTCCAACGGTGGTGCTACCTACCTCTCAATGGTAGGATGGCACTATCTTAAGGACATTTTCACAGCCTAATTCCTTAGGGTAGGTAGACGACTCATAGATACTTGCTCTATTAAAAAACAAATCAAAAACCTTTTCACACCGACACTTTCAAAAAGCTTTCAAAACAATTTTTCAAACACTCTTGAGGACTGATACAAGAGTCGATCTGAAATCTTTAAAACGAAACTTTTTCAAACCCACTCACAATTGAAAAGCAAACACTTTTGAAAACACAAATGAGCAAGTATCTAAGAGCCCATGGATAACCATGGATAGAAAGGGTGCTAACACCTTCCCTTTCTATAAATCTACCTCCCGAACCGAGAAACTATCTCATAAGGAATTTTGCTGTGCTTTTGTCCTGTCCATGTTGGAGAAAATAAAAGACGGTGGCGACTCTTGCTTCCGCGATATTTCGCGAACCATCTTTAAACAGTCAGTTCCAGATCCACCAATCACAGTAATACATATCAATTTGGGAAAAGAACATTTGAAATACCACTGATAATTAAAAGTGCATTGATAGTTTGTGTCCTCCCTCTAGTATCATATGTAAGCAAGATAAAGATAAAAAGTTATGATAAGATGAGTGATATTTGAACACTCAATATTTAACATTGTATATCAACCGTATACCAATATCTTTATCTCTTTTCTACTTTTTCATTTCATACACTTACACGAATTCCAATAATATATTACTACACCTAAAAATTATACTTGGTATCTGATCGTACCTGACGAGAATGGATCGTTAATGATCTGTAACACTTGTACTTTGATGGCGGTTGAAGGAGAAGTGGTACCTGCAAGATGCTCCGATGTCAAAGTAAATTTCAGAGCTAAAGTGCAAGTAGAGAGTTAGAGTGAATAGAATAATGTACCTGACCCTCTAGTGAAATAGGGTATTTATAGCCCTCAGCGTTGGACCAATCTCCCCAATTTGGACCGGACGCCCATGCTCAAAATGGAGACTGCCGGGATTTTACGTGGGTAGAGGAGACCAGTTCATGCTCTTTATCTTGGTTCAACTGTTCCGTAATTCTTGAAGGGTAGAAGACCCGTTCTTTTCAGGGGAAGGATGACTCTGTGATATTCAGAGAAACGTTTGGCCACATATCCTTGGTATGGAGGAGACGTCCTTGACGGACACGTGGAGGAGGCGTCCTCGACTGGCACGTGAAGGATACGTCATCGACAGACACGTGTGAGAGACGTTCCCCAATGGTCACGTAAAGGAGGCATCCTCGACTGGCACATGGATGGGACGTTCCCCCACTGTAGTGAGCCTTCCTCACAACAGAGTTAGGCTGGGCCATGCCCGACACTAGACCAGGCGCAGGCCCAATCCAAAACAATACCTTTTTGATAGCCAGATATGAATGTCAAGATATCATTTCTCTTACGATAAAGAGCAACTTTTCTAATTCTATTTTTATCTTTTATTTTTATTTAAATTAAACGTACATTAGAACACACTTCATTTTCTATACTTCTAACACTAGAAATTCTAGATACAACTATTTAGCTTCCTTTAACCCGCGTGACTTATCGATTATTTAGTTCTTAAAATAAAGTTTTTAGTAGGCTTAACTTTAAAAAAAATTAGTCCATCTTGATGATTTTTAAATTTTTAGTAGGGATGACAAAATAGACCGTCCGTCCCGCTCATTCCTTCCCCGCCTTAAACTCGACAACAAAAAAAAGAGTAGGACAGACAAGCCTGCAAAGTGAAAATGGGCATAAAAATTTAGCTCTCCCCACTAAGGTGGTGGATTGGCGCCGCCTATTTATTTATTTATTTATTTTTCATTTTTTTTAATTGATTAATAGTTTTTTTACCTTTTAATTAAAATTTTCACTTAACTTTTGAATAATTTTTTATAAAGCATTTTTTTAACAAATTTTACTTTAAAAAATATTGCATATATTTACAAATAAATGTATAAAATAAAACCATAAAAAATTGGAATTACTAGAATTAACTAAAAAATGGCAGATTTAAGACGGGGACTGGCTAAACGGATAGGCGGTGCGGGTTTAGCGAGCAACAGACTTTGTCAGAGCAAGTTTTGGCAGGCGACAGATTTTGTTGAGCGGTGGGTTCAAAATCTCAACCAAACCCGTCATTTTTTGGCAGTTGCGCAGGCCGGCCATGCAGGGCACGACCTATTTTGCCACCCCTAATTTTAAGTTTTTTATTTAAAAAACTAAATTTTTAGTCCCTCAATTTTATATCTCTTAGAATTTTGTTGATTCTTTTTAGTTTTGTAGACATGACAATGATGATTAAAACAAAAAAAATATATTTTAATAAATTGATGATTAGAATAATTTATTATTAAATATTTTTTATAAAATAAATTAATAATCTTATATAAGTTTATTGGAAACATTTTAATAGTATTTACGATTATATAATAAATATTACACATAAATAGCAGACAAACAACAACCTGCGCCGCTACCCTTTTTTGAATGGTTAAATCGATCTTCTTAAAAACTACATTTATAGTTCTACGAGACACAAAATTATTCTGCATGCATTTGTAAAAGATCAACTGCTTCTGATGTTAGAAACCTTAAAAATATCAAAGTATGTTGATTGTCGCAACACACTTTCTCATGTTTTATTATTTTACTTGAAGCGACTTTGAGAGATATCAGTAAAATCTCTGGTCCTCAATAAAAATTTATTTGAAAATTAATATAAATTTTAGAAATTTATTTAGAAAATTTAAAACTTGTATTGAATAATTGCAATATATATTTATAAAATTTATTTATTTATTTTATGAAAATATTAAATAATAAATTATCTTAATCAACATTGCCAACTTAATCAAAATAATTTTTTTTGTCTTAGAGGACTAAAAAAATTTAAAGGAGATAAAATCGAGAGATAAAAAATTATATTTTAATATAGAAGACTAAAAATTTAAAATAATTAAAATAAAAAGACAAAAGCGCATTTAAACCAAAAAAATAATTAAAACTTTGTCAATAATATAAGAATTTAATTGAAATATATTGACCGAGTATAAAAAATTTACACCATTAATGAATGATAATAATTAAATTTTAAATTAAATTAAATTTTTATTTTAATTATTAATAAAATAATTTTTATGAATGATTGTGATTCATTGATGATGTAAAACTTTTTACTCTGAAAGTGCAGTGCATGACAATTAATCAAATAATACAAAACACTAAAGTATTATACTTTTTTTAAACAATATTCTAAAGTGATATAAAATATAAATTCATTAATTGGAAAAAAAATTCTCTTGGTCAATTCAACTCACTGACATAAATTTCTATTTTAGAGCAAATATACTACCATAAGTTAAAGATTTGACCTTTTTTAAAAAATTAAAAAAATATTTAACAATTTATCTTAAACATGGATATTAATATGAGATTAATTATTATACACCATCAATATAAATTTTTTTACACAATCAATACATCATAATTATTTATAAAGATTATTTTTTAAATAATTAAAATAAAAATTAAATTTTAATAAATATTTAACAATCATGATTAATTGTGATGTAAAATTACTTTATATTATGAATATATATCAAATAAAATTTATTAATATTAAACATTAATGACGAAAAAGAAAAAGGAAGGTAGGTATTATTAAATCATTATTTTTGGTTAGTCACCATCGAATTACACTGACCCTATCGTCCTCTGCCCGGATCTCATCGGGCAGTTTCTTCTTACGACGATTTTCCCTCTTCCCACGCTGCCCGGATCTAAATCGGGTAACACCTGCAACAACTGATTCAAACTGTTTCTTTCACCTCTCTTAACAAGAAACAGGATATAAACAAAGTTAGAGAGAGAAAGTTAGAGAGAGAAAGCTTCTCACACTATAAATTCTTGCTCTTTCTCTCCATTAACCCTACCTAAAAATTTTCTCGTGAAAGAAGGTTCTACTTCCCACGACTGAGAATTTTCTTCTTGGAGAAATGAAATAGCATTGGATTTTAACGTCATTTTGATTTTGTTGCAGTTGCTTTGAGTTTCGTTTACGGTTTTTGATTTTGAAAAATTTCGAAGAGTTTCGAAGAATGTGGAAGCTTATGCGATTCGCCGCGGCACGATCGCGGTTGTTCTCGACGGCGAATCCTGCTCCGTGTATGGTTCATAAACGCGGTGCTGATATTCTTCATGATCCTTGGTTCAACAAGGTTCATTATCTTCATCTTCATTTGCATTTTGTACTATTTTTTGAGAGTGCTCTAAATCTGTTTCTCTGTTTATGTTTTCATTTTTTTGAATATTTGAATTAGTGTTTTCAATCCTAAAACTCTGTTTTTCAATTCTGAAATGTAGGATACTGGATTTCCTTTAACCGAGCGGGATCGACTAGGGCTTAGAGGACTTCTTCCTCCGCGGATTATTTCATTTCAGGAGCAATATGATCGTTTTAGTAAGTTTTAATTAGAGTGTTAATGTGATTATGATCATGTTTATTTATAACTTTTAATGTTTGATAGCTATAATATATTTTTGTGTTGATTTTCCAGTGAGCTCGTATAGATCATTGGAGAAGAATACCCATGGCCAATCGGATAACTTTGTTTCCTTATCGAAATGGAGGATCTTAAATAGACTGCATGACAGGAATGAGACTCTGTACTATAGAGTGAGTTTGATCGATGATGAAATTGGCTCGTTATTTTGTAAAAATGTGCTAATATTTATTTTTAAATGATTCTTATGCTGTAAACTATGCTTCTCTTCAGGCTCTTATTGACAATATCCAAGAATTTTCTCCTATAATCTATACTCCTACAGTTGGGTTAGTGTGTCAAAATTATTGCGGGTTATTTAGACGTCCGCGTGGAATGTATTTCAGTGCGAAAGATAAAGGAGAGATGATGTCGATGATCTATAACTGGCCAGCTCATCAGGTATTGAATCGATCTTTGTAAATACTGTATCCCTTTGCTTTTCATTCATAATTGAAATCGAAGTGACTTTTATCTTTTCACTCCTACCTGCTAAGGGTTGGAACATCTACTTAGTGTTTTTCAAGTTTGTGAGGGTTGGGACATGTAAGATAAGAGAAAAGAGAGAGAGAGAGAGAGAATTGATTCATTTGTTTTTGAAGTTCTGTTATTGATTTTCTGGGGTGTTACAAAGTAGATTAGAACTTATATAGACATCCTAATCATACACAACAAAGTGATTTAACCTACATCTAGTCATAACTAGTTTTAAGTAGTTATGCTGAGGTGACAATGGAAGCTAAGAGAAGCTTCTATAGGAATCTTCCAGCATATATTTAGACATAACTAGCTCTAAGTTAGTTATGCTGAGGTGGCAGTGGAAGCTAGAAGAAGCTTCTAATCACATCTCTCACAGAACATAACAAATTCTGCAGTTACTTAAATTCTGTCGATGAATTTAGTAAAATTTTAACTTCCTGATAGATGAACTGAAGTTCAAATGAGCCGGATCTTTCATTTTTTTTATTATGGAGCCATTTAGTTTCACCAAATAGTTTCTGTTTTATTATCGGCATTGAGGACTTCTGTTGGACATGTTTCTTGCTATACTCTCTTTTTATATTCTTATTCTTTTGAATTTTCGCAAATATACCAAGCTAGAGTAAGGTGCGTGTAAGTATTAGGTTTATAAAATAGAGGGGGAGTAGGTGAAAATAGGAAAATATAGAGGAGGTTAGTTTATTTTATTCTGCTTTCTTTATGAAAAGATGTTCTTTTGTACTGTCTAAACAACTGCCATGCATAAAATTGGTACTTATTTTCAAATTTATAGAAATGATTTAGGTAATTAGCTTTAAAGCTGGTTACTTCATTTCTTATGACTTTATGTGACAGCCATGATAAATGTCCCAGTTAATGGATGCAGTCTTATGTGACTATATTCCTTTTGCAATTTATGAGGTTTTTTGGATCATTAAGTAACATTCTTGTTCCAGGCTTGTGTTATTCATTTATTAGTATTGGTCTTAATCATCATGTTTCCCTTTGCAGGTAGACATGATTGTCTTGACAGATGGTAGTCGTATTCTTGGGTTAGGTGACCTTGGAGTTCAGGGCATTGGAATACCTATAGGAAAACTTGATATGTATGTTGCTGCTGCCGGTATCAACCCACAAAGAGTATGTGTTCATCAACTTGTGCATTCTGAATGCATTCTAATTTATATATTTCAAATTTAAGTTATTGGTTTTGGATTATAATTTCATTTTAACTATGTTTTAATTTTTAACTGGAACTTGTTAAGGCCAGTAACTCTCGTTAACCTATGCTGTATGCTTTTTTTCCCAACTGTGGCAGATACTTCCGATCATGCTGGATGTTGGAACAAACAATCAAAAGCTACTTGATGACCGCCTTTGTATGTAAAATTCATTCTCTTGGATATTTTGTTTGCTTATTTCTATGGTTGTATTGTATTGTTTCATCTTTCATTTACTGGGGACATATTTGCTTTATAAACTGAGGAAGGTTTCATCTTGTTCAGCATCCTAGATTAAGTGGTTGCATTTAAATATATTTTATAATGGCTCTGCCACTTATGTTGTCTCTTGAGAAAGAAGAAAGCAAACATGCTAATTCCTCCTGTTTTACAGAGTATGTATTGACATGATTTTCATGTGACAGATTTAGGAGTTCGACAACCTAGGTTGGAAGGTGAAGAGTATCTTGCGATTGTGGATGAATTCATGGAAGCTGTTCACGCTCGATGGCCGAAGGCTATTGTTCAGGTTTGCATTTCTTTTAGAACATGTTCTTGAGGTTTAAATTAGTAACTGGTTGTCAATGACTATTTTTTTTTCAGTTTGAGGATTTCCAAATGAAGTGGGCTTTTGAAACCCTTAAACGATATCGCCAAAGGTTTTGCATGTTTAATGATGATATACAGGTGAGAAAGTGATATACATGTTCAAGCAGTTAAGTAATGGGCTGTGTCCTTAAGTAACTACTGAAACTTTGATTTCTCATCATTTTCCTTGTCCAATAGGGCACAGCTGGTGTTGCACTTGCTGGATTACTGGGAACTGTAAGAGCCCAAGATCGACCGTTGTCTGATTTTGTGAAACAAAAGATAGTTATCGTTGGAGCTGGAAGGTACTTGCAAAACTAATTGTGATGTAATCATTATTTTGTGTTCAGTTTGTTTTATTGTTCTATCATACCCCTCGTTATCGCTACTTTCTGCCTAACATGGCTGCCAAAATACTGTTCAATCCTGCCTTACATGATATATTTTTTACCTGACTTGCAGTGCTGGGCTTGGGGTTCTTAACATGGCTGTCCAGGCAGTTTCAAAGATGTCAGGGTGCAGTGAAACCGAAGCAAAAAGTCAATTTTTTTTACTTGATAAAGATGTATGCTTTCATTCTCTCTCCTTGTACAGTTGCATTATTAGAGCTTCAAGTTGTAGCACCCCCATAATCATCATTCATCATAATCCTGTATAATCTTGTTACTTCATGATTATAGACCAAACATTTTTAATCTAAATGCTCTGATTCGTCATATTGTCTTAATTTATTATTTGGCATCCCTGGTTTTGGATTCTGTTACTTAACTGTATGTATCTGATTAAAGTTGATATGATACATCATGTAAGTCTGACAATAATGACGTAATGCCTGAATTCAGGGTCTTATCACGACAGAAAGGAGTAATATAGATCCAGCTGCAGTTCCATTTGCTAAAAATCCAAGAGACTTAGAAGGGCTTGCAGAGGGTGCTAGTATTGTTGATGTGGTAATGATACTGATTTACAAGATGATACTTAAATAATGCTAATTTAAAGACATGCATACTCGTTCATGTGCATACTGTAATTATTGATGCCAATTATCTTTAGGTTAAGAAGGTTAAGCCACACGTGCTGCTTGGATTGTCTGGAGTTGGTGGTATTTTTAGTGAGCAGGTAAATTTCCTATTATAATACCATCTGACGTTATCTTCTTCCTCAGTGAAGTGTATTAAACAATTAAAAGCAATAGACATTTTGAAAATGTCATGTTTTGACATTGGATTTTGCACCATTCATTTCAAAGTAATTGGGTTTCTTTATTTTTAATCGTTGGGATTCAACTCAGGTTCTTAAGGCAATGAGAGAATCTGTTTCAACAAAACCGGCTATCTTTGCCATGTCTAATCCCACTATGAATGGTTTGTTTGTACAAATCTTATTCAGCACTCGCAATTGCTTGATAATGTACATGTTTTTCATTTTGATATTTTTTGTTGTTATTGGTACAGCTGAGTGCACTGCTATTGATGCATTTAATCATGCTGGAGAAAACATAGTGTTTGCAAGTGGAAGTCCTTTTGAAAATGTAGATCTTGGTAATTACCTCTTAATATGATTTTATGGCTTTGAAGTATCTTGTCATTTTCATATATTTCTTAGACATGGAGGCTATATAGGATATGCATCTTGTTGGTACAAAGTTTGGTTGATCTGTTCATTATCATGTATTATCATTACCTCCAAATTAATTTTTGTACAGGAAATGGAAGAGTTGGCCATGTAAATCAAGCCAACAACATGTATTTGTTTCCAGGGTAGGGTGTGGGCTTATAAGTTTTCATGAATCATGCTCTGAATCAAAGTGCCGGGGTAATTTTAATTGTAACCTTCCATTTCAGGATTGGCTTGGGATCACTTCTGTCTGGTGCTCGTCTTATAACAGATGGAATGTTGCAGGCGGCATCTGAATGGTATAATCCTACACCAGTGGAAGTTTAGTTAATTATCTTGTTTGTTGTTTCTCTCAAATCTGGTTGTTTGCAAGTTCTTTTTCTTGCCAAGCAATGTATGTCGGGTGGGGATTTTGCTTTTGAAATGTAATATATAATATTATCATAGATAGCAGTCCCTCTCCATTGCAATAGGCTCTACACTATACCTGCCGCACATTTCTTCTAAAATTATATGAAGTGCATATTAATTTTTTGTGTTGAAATTAACATGCTGTCATCCTCACAGCCTTGCTTCATACATGACAGAGGAAGACACCAAAAAAGGAATCTTGTATCCATCC